GTATAAAGACTTAAGATGTCTCTACAACAAGTCGGCGGCAGACAAAGTAGAGCTCAAACAAGAGCTGTTCAACGCCAAGAAAGTGAATGAGAAGTTGAAAGAACAACTTAAACAACTTACATTAAAGACTGAAACTACTTGTAACGATGTTGGTGGAGATCAAACCACCAATGAAAACGAGAAACTGTCCAGGAGGCTGCAGGAGCTGACTGCTGAACTTTATTCAACACGAGAGGAGCTGCGTCTCCTGAAACGTCATCGTGATCGTGAAAGATCCAGCTGCCCAAAAGGAGCGGCCGTAGTGGAGCAGCAGTGGAGGAGGCTCAGGCATCAACAGCACTAGAGCCTCCACCTCCAAACATCACACTTTACACACAGGAATAAAAAAATAACAACAAATATTTAAATGTGTGCTTTGACCTTTATTTAGTTTTTAATCATGTTTTATTGTTTTGGTTTTTGCACATAGTTTAATTCACATGCCAGTCATATGACATACTGCAGTGGCTTGTTTTTTATGCAGAAATTGGTAAAGTGAATGTACCAAAAATAATATAATACATCAGGGGTTTTCAGAGTGAATGCCTCCCCTTAGAGTAGAAGTAAAAACACCTGAGCCCAATAAACCAGGACTAAACCAGGACTAAACCAGGACTAAACCAGGTATAAACCAGTACTAATCTTGGATTTGAGAGAGAGAGGGAGAACCCCGAGCAGAGGTCTGTGTGGGACAGAATTTTCAGTCCTGCTTCCTCCCGCAAAGAATTATAATTTTCATTCCCTCTCCCGCCCACATCTGTGATATTTGTCCCGTTCCTGCCCACAAATCTTAACCTCTATCAAACACGGAGAAGGGAAAGGAATTGTCTAACATGTGCACAAGATTAGAGCACGTCCGCAAGTTTAGGCTCCTTAAAATGTTTTGATTAAAGCCAAATCAAATATCCAGCACAAATGATGTATGATAGACAAACATGAATCATTTGTATTTTTTACTTTACACTTACATTTAGTTTGCAGGACTGCAGTTTATCATCCCACCTGCCCGCTCCTGCATTGTGCAGTTTCACTCCCTCCCGTGTCCGCAGTGAACTTTAAACATGTGTCCACTGTTTTGCGTTGGGACCCGCTGGAGGCCCGAGGGAGGCCCAAGGGAGAGCAGGGTGTCCACAAAGCACCACTGGACAACGGCTGCGCTTAACTCTGTGAGGCACGGAGCTCTCCATCCATCCTTTCACCTGCGCTCACCCGACGGTCTAGACGGGCGCACCTCCGGGCCTGTCCACACACTCAGTCTTGGTTCAGTTCGGGTTTAATCCTAGTTTAGTCCTGTTTTAGTCATGTTTTAGTCCTAGTTCAGTCCGGGTTCAGTCCTGTTTTAGTCCTGTTGTAGTCCTATGTCAGTCTGGTTTTAGTCCTAGTTCAGTCCTGTTTTTTCCTCCTGGTTCAGTCCTGGTTTAATGCTATTTTAAGCCTGTTTTAGGCCTAGTTCAGTCCTGTTTTAGTCCTAATTGTGAAATAAAACCTTATTTTTACATACGAATTTTCTAGGGGGCGCTATTGCACCCATCTTTCTTACATCAGTCTGTTCAGGGTCGGGGTGTAAACACACAATTAAAATTTGTGTGAAATTGGCCAAAGTTTGTGCGACTTGTCAGTTTTACCAATGGAATAACATGGAGAGGTTATGTCATCGCTATGGCAACGCCATCAAAAATATGACATGGGTGTCATGGACTTTTGGATCAGGATGCCAAAATGGAATTTTGTGCAAAATTTCAGACATTTTTCAATAGCTATTTGGGAACAATTCTCTTTTTCTCCAATATTAAATTTTGCTTCAATCTATGTTGACCATATTTTAAAGATTTGCACATAGAAGGAATCGGTGCATGGCTGTGGATCGCAGCAGCGTAAGTGTAAGAGTATGCTCGTGTGGTACTCCTGCCATCATAAACAGTTTCCTTCATTTGTTCTGAGTTACGCGTCCACACTGTTTTACCTCGTGTCTTTTCCTGCTGCGGCGTGTGGGATAAGCTTTGACTTATATATACACCGCAACAGGTGAATATGACATGGGCACCAATTAAATCTTGCATGACACTAAATAAGTATAATAATAATTATTATAATTATAATTATAATAATATAAACTAAACTAAACTAAACCAAACTATATTGCCGAAAGTGGACTCGCCTCTCCACAGATATGACCTGTAACTTGGTTTATTGGCATTATCTGCTTGTCTCCATGGAGATAGGTTTTATGCCACATTGTTATTGGTTATTGAAGGAGGTAGCAGACTCTGTACCTTTAAGTATCCTTTGAGATGTACCGACGTATTTCAGAATGATGAGAAATTAGAATTGTTACCATAGCGATTAACAATTTAAAACCAAGTCTGATATCTTTTGTCTGGGAAAATCCTCAACATGTTGCATAAGTGAAACCTGTAATATTTTTCATTCACGCGAGAATGACGTGTGCCTTTGAGCTTGGACGCCATTTTAAGGAGCATCCACAGTTCTGGTTTGATCAGTACAAGTTTTTCTTGCGTCTTACACCTGCAGCTTCATCTGAAATGTGCAGATTTTCTTTTGCTCCAGCTTCATTCACAAACTTTTACAGTGGTCACGTTTTACAGAATGGTCTCATGGGTTGTGTTTGTCTGAGACGACAGCGCTCTGTGGGGCAGAGCCTGTGTCCTGTGCAAATGGCAACAGCTCTGTCACTGCAAAGATCTGCTCTAATCCAATCTGTTTACCTCCAACAGACCTACGGGCAATTTCTGTACATTTGTCCTCACCTGGATTTTTTTCTTAATTTTGATATTAAAACTCCACCTTTGAAGTGTTATACGTCCTTTCTCATTACAGCCTGTTATTTCACAATGTGCTGCTGGAGTTTTGTCATATGGCTGAAATTAAAGATATAGGACCAGAAATATACAAACACACACAAAAACAGCAAATACAATTCACACTCTTTCATAGAAAACACACAGCAAACATGTATAAACAACTTTTTGGACATAAAAAATCCTTAATTTAGGACATCTGTAAGTAAACTAAAAAAATCCTTATTGCTTCAAAACAAAAACAAAAAGTGTAGACTTTCCTGGTGCCAGTCATGGAAACAACTCGTGTCAGGTCCAGGGCGCAGAGTCACATCACTTCCTGTATTTCCGTTTTTTTTTTTTTTTTTAACATTTCGATTTGTAAATTTTGACTAAAATAAACCTTTCAAATAAAAATAGCAAGGGATGTGCAATTACACAGACTAAGATGCATAATTTGACATTTATTTGAGAAATAAATGCACTTAGAGCGACTTTTTTAATTGTTCTGAACACAGACGCTCAGAGCATCGACCATTTTGACTCACTTCACTCTTTGGCAAAGTTTGAGCCAATCAAAATGGATGGAGTGCATGAGTTTGGTGGAAAACAAATTTCCACACTTGTTTTCCCAACGTCATCACGCAGCGTGTGATGTAGGATAATGCTGGAAATATGCCACAATAAGCTGTAGCTGTCAGCTTTTCAATGAAAAAAAAAGTTTCTATCTTTCATGATTGTAAAGTTCTACACGTTTATATAAAACATGTAAAACAGACATGTCGGTGTGGAAGGGTTAAAGGTTCTATATTACACAAAACTGACTCTTGTGAGCTTTAAGTCATGTTAGAATGTTGTTTCCTCCTCAAAAACAGAAACAGTTTTGTTTCATTTACACATGTTTGAGTTACTCTTTATTATTAGTCTGTCTACATCTCCAAAGCTCAAAATGCTCTGCTCCACCTTGTGATGTCATGTAGTGGCCTAGTTTTCAAGTAAACAACTCCTTTTATCTTTAGTTCAGTAGAGATTGGTAATTCCACGGCAGAAATCATGAATCACCAATGGGATTCATGGAGTTTAAAAACACAGTGGAGCATTTCCTGTACTACTACATGACATCACAAGGTGGAACAGTGTTTTCAGTTTGGGAGAAGGTTTGTGTGTTAAAGATGTGTGAGTGAAACAAAACACAACTCCACGTCTGTTTGTGATTACAGCATACATCCCAAAAGTGTCATCTAGGCCGTTTAAAGTAACGACCAACTAAATAATAAAATAAATCCATCTAAAAATGAACTGATCAGAAGCAAAACGACGTTCACATTTTCTATGAACTTCACATTTACACAGTGTCAGAGTTTAATGTCACTCACAAACAAAGCCAAAAAGAATAAAACACATGATTTTCACGACACAATATTTGTTCACATCTGTGTATTTTTGTCAAGTTCTCCTCCCTCCTCTTTCCTCTCCTTGCTCCTCTACTCTTCCTCTCTTTTATTCCTCCTCTTCTTTGACTATCACACTCTCCCCCTCATCTTCTCTCTCTCTTCTCTTCTCTTCTCTTCTCGTTCTTCTCGTTTCTCCTCTGTTTCCTCCCCATGTCATCCTCCTCTCTCCTGTCTCTCCTCTTTCTCTTCCATTCTCTCTCTCCTCTCTCCTCCCATGTCGTCTCCTCTGTCTCCTTTGTCATCTTCTCTCATCCATTCTTTCCTCTCCTCTCCTCTTCTCTCTGTCCTCTCTCTTTACCCTTCTCCCCATCTCTCCTCTTCTCTCTGTCCTTTCTCTTTACCCTTCTCCCCATCTCTCCTCCTCTCTCTGTCCTCTCTCTTTACCCTTCTCCCCATCTCTCCTCCTCTCCTCTCCTCTTCTCTCTGTCCTCTCTCTTTACCCTTCTCCCCATCTCTCCTTCTCTCCTCTTCTCTCTATCCTCTCTCTTTACCCTTCTCCCCATCTCTCCTCCTCTCCTCTCCTCTTCTCTCTATCCTCTGTCTTTACCCTTCTCCCCATCTCCTCTCCTCTTCCTTTTCTCTTTCTCTCCCCTCTTCCATTCCTTCTCTCCTCCTCTACTCCTTCCGCTCCTCTCTTCTCTCTCTTCCCTCTCTTTCTCTCTCTCTTTCTGCATATACAGTGTTATTGACGGCCCCCTCTCTCTCACAGCGACCCCTACTGGGAGCGAGGTGCCAGTGCGGGCAGCTGCTCCGCCCCTCGACCCAAGACTCTGCAGCTGGGACAGCAGCACACCTCGTCTCCATGGTAACAAACTATGCAACAAACAAACAGTAATAATAGTACTACAGTAAAGTGGAGGATGATTTTTTCTAGATGTGTACTTCTCTGAATGTTCCTACGTTGGTAACAGCTCCAGTTTTGTCCAAATGAAAGCGTCTGTGTCTAGTTCAAGTGCAAATCTTCACAGCGTTCAGCTCCAGTCAAATGAAGCTCATCGAGGCTGTGGTTATAGGAGACGACCTCGGGGAAAGAAGGCACCTGATTGGTCTGTTATTAATCTTGATTTAGGGACAGAATAGTGAAATAAAAACACCAGGAACAAACAGAGCTGGACATTTAAAAACCAAAATGACAAGACTCACTGTAGAGAGAGAGGGGTGATGTTTTTTCAGTAAAGCTGAGTCGATGCCACGTTCACTTCCTGTTTGGAACAGTACAGTCTACAGTCTGGTATAATCTTGTGTTTTTTTCTATTGTGAACATAAACTGTACAAAAAAGCAAGTGTGACGTCACCCATAGTGTTCATCACCACTTTAATGAAGCTGAGGAGAGAATCCATGGGTGTTAGACCAGGCTTTAGTCCTGGTTTAGTCCTGGTTTAGTCTTGGTTTAGCCCTGGTTTAGTCCTGGTTTAGTCCTGGTTTAGTCTTGGTTTAGTCCTGGTTTAGTTCTAATTAAGTCCTAGTTTAGTCCTGGTTTAGTCTTGGTTTAGTCCTGGTTTAGTTTTGGTTTAGTCCTGGTTTAGTCTTGGTTTAGTCCTGGTTTAGTTCTAATTAAGTCCTAGTTTAGTCCTGGTTTAGTCTTGGTTTAGTCCTGGTTTAGTCCTGGTTTAGTTTTGGTTTAGTCCTGGTTTAGTCTTGGTTTAATCCTGGTTTAGTCCTGGTTTAGTCTTGTTTTAGTCCTGTTTTAGTCTTGGTTTGCCCTGGTTTAGCCCTGGTTTAATCCTGGTTTAATCCTGGTTTAATCCTGGTTTAATCCTGGTTTAGTATTGATTTAGTCCTGATTTTAGTTGTGTTTTAAGCCTGGTTTTAGGGGGGTTCACTCTTTCGTGGCCCTGCACCGGTCCATGACCCGGGCTCTGGGGACCCCTGGTGTATAGAATAATTATATAAACAAATGAAAAAAAAAAGAACTTTACAGACCTGAATCATAAGGGGCCCACATTACACTATTTTCAGTTCTATTTTATAATGTTGTCTAATGTTTCCTCATCACAAACAGACCTGGACTTGTGGTTTTGTTTCATTCACAAATGTTTAACACATAAACCCTGCACATTTAGACTGAGTTCTTTCTCTCTCCACCTTGTGGTGGCTGTACGGAGGCTGAGTGGTTAATACTCATGCTTTACAACAAAAACGTTCTAGGTTGGAGGACTTTGTGTGTGGAGTTTGTATTTTCTCCCTGTGTCTGGGTGGGTTTCCTCTGGGCACATAGGTCAGTGACTTCAGGATGTAAATGACCATGTGTAGATGCCCAGCTAATGGAGGTCAAATAAATATCAATAAATAAACATCATGTGTCATACAAGAAGTGCTCCACTGTGTTTTAAAAGTGTTACTGAAACATGTGTGAATGAAACAAAACACAGGTTCAGCTCTGTTTGTGACGGGGTAACAACATTCTAACATGATGTACATAAAACCCCCAGGAGTCAGTTATGTGTAATATAGGAAGTGTTATTGTATTTTCCCCACTATATGGGCGCTCTGGATTATAAACCGCACTGTCATTAAATTTGAACTTTTTTCACAAATAAACCGCACCAGACTTTAAAGGAAACCCAACAGTGTGATGGGTGAGTGGTTTTGTTTGTTTGTTCGTTCACGGTGACTCTGGGCTTTGTTCAGTTGTGGCGTGTAGGGAGGGTGTGTCTGGGACCAACGGATTGTCGGCGTGTTCACAGTGACTCAGTTGTTCAGTTGTGTCTAGAAGTGGCACATTGCACTCACTTTTTTGGTTCATTCCTCCGTTCTGTTCCTCGTCGGCGTGGAGTGATGAGTGTGTCTGTGGGTGTGTTTGGTTGTGCGGTCACTGTCTGCTCCGTGTGTGTTTGCGTGTGCTGCGGGTGTTGTGGCTTTGTAGTTTACTGGATTCGTGTATAGGGCGCTCTGGATTGTGTGTTGTTTTTTGATGGGGTCAGAGCAGGGGTGTGCAATACGTCGATCCCGATCTACCAGTACTCGTCTCGGACTTGTGTTTGGACTCGGTCTTGTCTCTCACTCGAGGTCTGACACTCAACAAGTGTGATCATATTTCATTACGGCCGCTGCTGTTGGCAATAAACTTGTTTGGTTTGGTAAATGTGCAGAGGCTGGTAAATATCACTGCAAAACCACAAAAGAATGCAACTCCAGTTTGGAACTTTAAAAAACAGGTTTAAAAATCTTCCTTCACTTTTTTCACAGTTTTGTGTAAAAAGCCAGAGGAAGTTCTCTTAAAGAAGAGGTTCTCAAACTGTGGGTGAGGGTCCAAGGTAGGTCATTAGGTCGATCATTTTGACTTGGTCATTTTGTAAGTAGCTCACATGCTGAAAAAGTGTGAGCAGCCCTGGGTTAGAGGCTTAAGAGTGCGCCCTATAACCCGGAAAATACGCTAAGTTTGTCAGTTTTCCTTTTTCTTATGACGCTTGCTGTAATTTTGCATTTTACCTTCAAAACATGGACTTTTCCCTGATTTTGTAAATGATAAATAGTACATTTCTCACAATCATCATGTGTTGAAATGCAGGTCAGTCCTCTTCACCTCCTCTCATCCTCTGTTTTTCTCTGAAGCGTTTGTGGAGCGTTTGGCAGATCCGTCCATTGTTGTTTTCCGGGTTTCATTTGTGTATTTGTATTGTTTGATGTGGTTTGGAGATAAGCTCTGGCTGAGTTTGGGCTCATTTGACTCGGGCTTATCTGAACCGGGATCAGACGAGCTGCTCCCAGAGGTCAGGCCTGTACAGAGGGCGGCCATTTTGTTTGTTTGTTTGTTTGTTTGTCTGAAGTGAGTAAACAACAGGACCTCGGGGGAATGTGTGTGATGGAAGAGCAGAGAGGCTGATGTGGGATTATCTAGAGGCCGTCGTTTTATATTCATATTGTTCATGGATGTAGATTTACAGCTTTAAATCTTGTGTTTTACATTTGTACACCTCAGCTTTGAAATTATAAATACTGAACCAAGACTAGACCAGACTAGACCTGGACTAAACCAGGACTAAACCAGGACCACATCTAAACCAGGACTAAACTCAGACTAAACCTGGACTGAACCAGGACTAAAACAGGACTAAATCAAGACTAAACCAGGACTAAACTAAAACTAAATGAGGACTAGACCTGGACATTAAATAAAGAAGAACTAACCCAAGACTAAACCAGGACTAAACCAGGACTAACTCAAGACTAAACCAGGACTAAACAAAGACTAAACCAGGACTAAATCAGTACTAACCGAAGACTAAAACAGGACTAGACCAGGACTGAACCAGGACTAAACTGGACTAAACCAAAACTAAATGAGGACTAGACCTGGACTAAAATAAACAAGAACTAACCCAAGACTAAACCAGGACTAAACCAAGACCACATCTAAACCAGGACTGAACCAGGACTAAAACAGGAGTAAATCAAGACTTAACCAGGACTAAATCAGGACTAACCCAAGACTAAACCAGGACCAAACTGGGGCTAAACCAGGTCTAAGTGAGTCCTTAAGTGGCTCTGTGGTCTGTGAGTTGGGTCTTGGTTCATTTGAGATGTTCTGCTCCAGTGCATTGTGGGTAAAAGGCATGAGGCTCAAATCTGATCCAGAAAAATGAGAAAATGATGGAGGGATTACACTGACAGAAGAGAACGCTTTCTCACCCACTCTCTGTCTCTCCTCTTTCTCCTTCTCTCCTCTCCATCCTCTCATAATCTCACTCCTCTTTTTCCCCCTTGTGTCTCTCTCCTCTCTCTTTCCCTCGCTTCTCTATATCATTGTTTTTTCTACCGACCCCTCTTGCTCTCTCCATCTCCTCCTCTTCTCCTTTTTTCTATTGCCCCTCTTCTTTCTTTCTTCTCTCCTCCCTTCTTTTTTCCCCTCTCTCCTCTCCCTGCCCCCTCTTCCTCCCTCTCTCCTTCTCTCTCTCAGAGGTCAGAGTTCATTCTTTCAGTCTTACACAGAACAGATGGAGTCTGCGTCCTTGGACCAAACTGTCTCTTTCTCCTCAACAAAAATTAACTCCTTTTACCTCATTTACACCTGAGAACAGACCACTGCTCCTGTCTGCTCCTGTCTGCTCCTGTCTGCTCCTGTCTGCTCCTCTGGCCCTGCTCCTGTCTGCTCCTGTCTACTGTACCTCCGTCCTTTTCTTCTCATAGTTAGGACATAGGAGTTTGGACAAAGAAGTGAGGGTGTAGGACATAAGAGCTAGGAAGCAGGAGTTAGGCCATAGGAATTAGAACATAGGAGCTAGGGCGTAGGGGTTAGGATGTACGAGCTAGGATATAGGAGTTAGGACATAGGAGCTGGGCGGTAGAAGCGTAGAGTACGAGCTAGGATGTAGGAGCTAGGGCGTAGGAGTTAGATGTAGGAGTTAGGACATAGGAGCTAGGATGTAAGGGGTTAGGCTGTACGGGCTAGGACATAAGAGTTAGGACATAGGAGCTTAGAGTAGGAGCTAGGATGTAGGAGTTAGAACATAGGTCTTAAGACGTAGGAATTAGGACGTAGGAGCTTGGACGTAGGAGCTAGGATGTAGGAGTTTGGACATAGGAGTTAGGAGGTGAGAGTTAAGATGTAGGAGCTAGGATGTAGGAGTTAGGATGTAGGAGCTAGAACATAGGAGTTAGGAGGTGAGCGTTAGGATGTAGGAGCTAGGACGTAGGAGCTAGGACTAGGAGTTAGGACATAGGAGCTAGGATGTAGGAGCTAGGATGTAGGAGTTTGAACATAGGAGTTAGGAGGTGAGCGTTAGGATGTAGGAGCTAGGACGTAGGAGTTAGGACATAGGAGCTAGGACATAGAAGTTAGGATGTAGGAGGTAGGACATAGG